AGCTGGCTGGTTTTGTTTATTTTTTTCCTGGCACAAATTACCGGCAAGTTAAACCTTCCTGAGTAAGAGGTATTGCAGCGAGACGTTTTTGCTCTTCTCCAGCCCTTTGGTCGGGTGAATTAAAGCCGTACAAATAAAGACTTACTAGTTTTTAAGAAAAACGAAAGCTGAAAATTTGGAGGTGTGTTTGTGTGCTCATTTGGCCGATTTAACGCTGCTGTCGTTTGTTGAACCTTAGTATTCTTGACGTGTACCCTCGTCTAGTGGAGGAGCATTCTCCCGGATGAGACCCTTGATTATTCTCAACTGTAATACAGTAGCCCTAGATCCACTTGTTGAAACGGGAGAATATCTTACTGGGAACGTACTAGCGAGGTGCTTACATATTGTAATTTAAAATGTGCTTCTCAAGTTAATTATGTATCTACCTTTTTTGTTGTTGGTTTTTTGAGACAGGGTTTAGCTCTGTCTAACCTTGAACTCAAGGCAGTCTTCCTGCCTCAGCCTCCCAAGTGATAGGATTACAGACATATGGCACCAAGCCTGGCTGTACTTATTTCTAAAAGACTTTGGTCTAGATTCCCACCCCCATCCCCCACCGCCCCTCCCCCGTTGATGGGGTGGAACACGTTTTGGCCCTGAGCTACAATCCCAGGCCCCACCCACTCACACATTTTTTTAAAGGAGACCCAGTTCCAGGCTGGGCTCAAACTTGGAAATCCTAGCTGGGTGTAGGGGCACCCGCCTATAATCCCAGCACTCAGGAGGCTGAGACAGGGTCGTTGCAAGTTTGAGACCAGCCTGGGCTACAAAGGGAGTTCAAGGCCAGCCTAAACTGCATAGCGAGACCCTGTCTCAAAAAGACCAAAAAAAAAAAAAAAATTGGAAATCCTGGGCCAGGGATGTAGTTCAGCAGCACAGCACCTGCATGTCAAGTGGGAGGCCCTGAGTTTGATTCCCAGTGCCAAAAAACCCCAAAAACCTTGGAGATCCTCCTGCCACGGCCACCCAGAGCGGATTACAGGCCTGAACCCAAGTTCCTCTCTAGACTGATTTCCCTCTCTCTCTCTCTTTTGAGGGTCTCACTATAGTTCACACTGCCCCAGAACTCACTTTGTACCCCCAGCCGGTATCAAGTGTGAGACAGCCCTCTTTCCTCAGTCTGAGTGCTGGGGTACAGGAGGGCACCACCACGTTCAACTTGATTGGATCTTTTAAAATACTGTGTTAATGTAAAGAGTGAAAAATAAGATTAGCTTCTCTTCCAATGTGAGCTGTAAAACCTGAGTGATTCCCCTTGGAGTACTGCACCCACACAGTTTGACAGATCAAATCCATTGACAAGTTATCTCTGGCTTCATAGTTCCTAAACTGCATAAATATTTCATTAATGAAAACTAATTTTTATGTGGCTTACTACTTTTTAATTTCACCCCCCCCCATTTGAGTTGTTGACGGTAAAATGTCTTTTCAAGAAGTTACTCTGTCCTGGATACCAAGAGAGCCAGTTAAATAGGGGAGAGGCTCTCTCCTTAGGCAGCCCAGCTTCTGAGTCTGACCTGCGGATGTTCCCAAGCAAGTGGAGAAGCTGAAAGGGTTTAAGTGGTAAGGAAGGTGGTAGGTGAGAAAGCGCGGAGCTGCTTCTGCTCCTGGCCCTGGCCTCTGCTCCAGGAAGAGCTATGGAGACTTGATTTGTCCAGTTGCCCTTAAGGTTTCTATGGTGAGAGATGTTCTTGGCTTTTCTGCTCTACCTATGGCACAGCTCATCACTGGACATGCAGAAACACTGTTATGTTGGCCCTTACCTGCTTGCACTTGCTACTAAGTCAAAGTCAGTTTGCTGTTTTTTGTTTTGGGTTTTTTTTTTTTGTCTTCTTGAGATGGTTTCAATATGTGGTTCAGGCTGGCCTTGAATTCACTTTATAGCCTAGGCTGGCCTCAAACTCATAGAAATCCTCCTGCCTCGGCCTCCCAAGTGCTGGGGTTACAGGCATGTGCTATCATGTCCAGCCCTCAAAGTCAGTTTAAAAGGATAAGTTAAATTTCAATTTCAGGGTGATAAAACTTTAAAAGTGGGGATAATTTCACCATTTTTATTGGGCTAAAGAGTATTTTCTATGAACTTCTGGTGATCTTTTATATTGGCAAGAAAAGAAATGATCACAGCCAAGTATGATGGCTCACCTGTAATCCCAGCACTCGAGAAACTGAGGCAGGAGGATCACTTCGAGTTTGAGGCCAGGCTGGGCTACAGAGTGAGTTCAGAGACAACCAGAGCTACATATTAAGATTCTGTCTCAACAAAACAAAACAAAGAAGCGATCACTGTCACTGAGTAAGACTGGTATTTCTCTTACCCCAGTGTGCTGTTTTCCTCCTGTCTCTCTGGCCAGAGGCTGGGCTGGTCAGTCTGCAGCCTGCCTTGGAGAGATTACTCAATCAGATTGAAAGTACAGTGACAGAGGAAGCTCTGTGGGATAGTGCAGGCCTGTTAGCGTTTTGAAAGCTCCAACTTTCTACAAACCTTCCAGCCTACTGGGAAAGTGAACGTCAGCAACTGTAGAAGACGATTGTTCAAAGCATCACCAGAGCTGTCGAAAGCTTTCTACAGTCTCCAAGAAATCAGAGCTCACGAATGGCTGAGGAGATGTAACAGAGATCCTGAAGAATGTGCCCTTTGGTCCCCTGACCTCGGCAGCATCAGGACAAAATGTGGACTGTTAGCCGAGGACTCCTTTGATGTCTCTGAAATCTATGTCATTTCCCAGTGGTTCTTTTTCAGAAACTCTGGTTCAGTGATCAGACTTGATTTAGGACCCTGGGTGTAGGAAGGTGTGAGTGTGGGCTGAAGAAGGGTGTTAGTTGAAAGATGCCTCACGCCTGTGTTCCCGCTTTGTTCAGAGTACCTTTATTTTTACTTCCTGGGCGGGGAGAGGGTTAGGATTGAGCAGAGGGCCTCATGCCTGCTAGGCAAGCGCCTTACCCTTGAGCTGCACCCTGGCCCATCTCCTCCATTGGGTAGAGGCAGGCTGACTATTAAAGCGGGTTCTACCACATTTATTTTGACAGATTGGGATTGGTTCAAGCAGGGAACTGAAGCCGAACAGTTTCCCCTCAACATTAACGAATTTGGCTGCCTCATGAAACTTTTGATTAGTTCTGAAGGCTCCTTCTTTGGCAGTTCTTCAGGTAGGAATTTGTAGGTAAGAACCAGGCAGGGCAGCTGGTCCGGTCTCCTCGTTTTATAGAAAACACTGGTCACTGCTCTAGGTCACTTGCAGTGACAGAGTTGCCTCAAGAGCTGCACTGGCCCCCTCTTGCGGGGCTGCAAGGTAAGTGTGGGCAGGAGGACCCTGCTCCAGTCAGACGCATGCCTTGTTTCCGGTGAAACGCTAGAGAAGTCAGGATGGCAAATCCACGTGTGTGCACTGAGTGACGAACCAAATACAGGTGCATTTTCTTCACTGCCTGCACTGTAGAAGTTTGGCTTTGGTTTCCCCCTTTGGTGGGGTCTTTAGAACCTGGGCTACTAAAGGAATAATTCTTTCCTCCCCAAACCAATGTGCATAGTAGGTAAGGAGTTTAAATTGTGGTGAGATAACCTAACTATATGCTAACAGGTGAGGTCCCACATGATACGTGTAAAACTCCCTTTGTGCAATATTTTCTATCTTTATAAGGCGATGGTCAAGTTCTCCAAGGCTAAGTAGTTTATTGCAATGACTACATCTGGTTATTGCCCATAAGTATAAGAAAAGTTGAGAATGTGCAAGTGAAAAGAATGGTAGAGAGTTCTTTAAACCACGTGTAGTAGCACACGCCTGTAATCCCAGCATTCTGGGAGGCTGAGGCAGGAAGAGCGTCTTAAGTTTGAGACCAGCCTGGGCTACACAGCAAGAGTGTTTCAAAAAAAAAAAAAAGAATTTGAGCCCACAGGAGCTTTCCCGGTCACCCTTGTGTCCACCGCAGTCACTGCAGTGGCAGGGCTCCAGCATGCCCACCTGTCTGAGTGTGCAGAGCGTCCTGTGGGCTCTGTGATAGGGAGTCAGTATTGTTAAGGGGGGTGATGTCCAGAGCCTACTGAGCCAGCTGGAGACCTGTCTTCCTGCAAATTGCAGGCCCGAGGGGAGCTCAGCCAGGAATATACAGTTCACAGACACCTGCTCTCCTGTGTGTGGTACCGGGGACTGAACCCAGGGAGCACTTAGCTGTTCTTTTTTTTTTAACAGGGTCTCACTATGCAGTTCAGGTTGTCCTTGAGCTCACTGTGTAGCCCAGGCTGGTCTCGAACTTGTAATGATCCTCCTGCCTTTGCCTCCCAAGTGCTGGGATTACAGGCGTGCGCCACCACACCTGGCTTAGCTGCCCTTTTTGAGATAAGAGCTAAATTGCTCAGGATAAACTTGAATTTGCGGTCCTGCCTCAGCCTCCCAGGTAGCTGGGTTACAGGTGTGTACCGGGGCTCAGAGGACAAATACCTGGTATTTAGTTGCGTGAGTCCTAGGAAGAGGCGGAGAGTCTGGGGACAGAGGATCAATCCTGTCTAGTGAGGTAAAGACCTCCCTGAGAGAAAACTGAAAGTTGTGAGAGGCAAGCACAACACGAAGTGCTCAACCCAGTGTTTGGCCGCAGAACAACCTTTTCGGTTGCTGATTTCTGTGTGAAAAACGAGGCCATGAATCCGGGGTCAGTTTGTAAGTATTTGAGACAGGCACGCAGCACTCACTGTAAAAGGGCCGTGTAGCCTTGAAAATCACCAGACTGATGTACTGAAACTGCCGCGGCGGATGGCTGCGTTTTTCTCTGCAGTCAGTTCCTAATACTCGGTTGTGCTTTCTCGTCTTCCGTCGTTTTTTATGAGCCGTTCCTTGTTCCAAGCTTCCGCTGGAAGTTGGGATTAACAGTGGAAGGCAGGCAGGGACCTAGGTCAGTGTAGCGGGTGCTTAGCAGGTTCTGTTACCACCACCAAAAAGAGCGCAAATGCCCTTGGAGTTCCAGACCTTGGAACAGCTGCAGAGGTTCTCAGCAGAAAACAGGTGGAAGAGCAGGCTGCGAAGTGAAAAACTTGGGCCCAGCTCTTGGTTCTGGTATTTGTCATCCACGTGACCGTAAGAAAAGGGTGTCATTTGTTTCGTTCCTTTTTTTTTGAGACAGGATCTCTTTACATAGTGCAGGCTGGCCTCAACTCCCAGTGATCCTCCAGCCTCAGCCTCCTGAATGCTGGGATTACACGTGTGTGCCCCTATACCCAGCCTATAATTTCCTAATTGCTTCTTTAGCTATAAAACAAGAATAATGCCAGTTTTGGGGGTTTCACAAATTGGCAATAATGGTAAGTGAACTGCCTGTACTGTGTGCACAGTGCCATTAAGAAAGAGGTGTGGCCGGGTGTGGTGGCGCACGCCTCTAATCCCAGCACTCAGGAGGCTGAGGCGGGAGGATTGTTGCAAGTTCGAGACCAGCATGGGCTACAAAGTGAGCTCAAAGTGAACTGCATAGTGAGATCCTGTCTCAAAGAAAAAGACCAAAAAAAGAAAAAAAAAAAGCAGATAGCACATGCCTGCATTTCTATACTCAGCAGGCTGAGGTAGGAGGATCACAAGTTCAAGGCCAGTCTGGGCTATGTGGTGTGATACCTTGTTTCAAAAACCCAAAAAAGGAAAAAAGACCGTGTAATGTTCGTGCACTCAGGGCTGGTTCGCCTGCCTTCTCGGCTTTCTCATTCCTAGGGGAGCTGGCCCCTGCCCGCGGGCCCAGGCTGTGTGTGCTTTGCTTTGGGGCAGCGCTGCCTGGGGGCCTGGCGTTCCCTCGGCGTCCTGGCGTGGGTAAGGGTCATGAGACTGACTGCACCTGTGGGAAGTGTGGGGCAGCTCAGAGCTGGTTCCTCCAGAACGAAGGACCTGCTTTGGCGTTCTCTGTACCCGCCAGTCTCGGGGTGAGCTTCCCTTCGGAGGTGCTTCTGCGTCCATGAGCCAGCTGCTGCTGGCGTCTCACTGGTGTTTTTTCCCTTCTAGAACAGGACTGGCTGGAGAAGGGAAACCCAAGACACCCTCCGCAGGTCACCGTCCCAGGGGCAGCGGTGCCACTCAGGGTAACAGCAGCCCGCCGTGGTGAGACCTGGGAGGGGGAGCGCGAGTCTCCCCTCTGCTCCTGTGAACCCCCTTCCTGTACACCGTTGCCACCAGTCCTACCACCCTTTCCTCCTTTGTGCGAGGTACAGTTCTAAACTTGGGAATTAGAGGACAGAGAGAAAGGGCTTGGTTATATTTATTCAGAATTGTAGCACGCGCCATCATATGTCTGGGGTCCCAGCTGTCGTGGAGGCCAAGGGCGGGGATCGCCTGAGCCTGGAGTTTGGGGCAGCATGGGGAACATACTGAGACCGTGACCCAAGACCAGACACAACTGTGACATTCTAGTTACTACCTGAGGACTGCGCTGTTTGCTCCAGTGACGCTGTCTCTGTGGCCAGCGTGCCCAAGTCTTCTTGTCCCTCGGTGGCGGAATCGTATTAAAGACAGCCTGTCACTGGAGACCTGGCGCCCCACCTGCAACGCCCCTCTCCCCGCCGAGCCTCCGGACCCTCGGTTGATTCAGTCGCAGGCTCGCCCTGTGTGGACCTTTGCAACGCCAGGCGCACGCACCCCGCTTTGCGGCTGCCGTGGTCCCCGTGGTTCCTGAAAGCAGCAGCACACCAGGTCTCTTGCGGTTCTCATACCCTGTCCCGCCGTCCCTTCCTCTCAGCCCGAGACCGACCCTTTGGGTTCCCAACCCCTCGACTCCATTCTCAGGGCCGAAGTCCCCAGCCACCCCTCGCCTGCTCGCTCCTCACACTAGGCGCTCTCGGCCAGGGCTTGGCCCGCGGAGCAGCCCGCTTCCGCCGCTACCCCGGGAGGCTCGGGATCTCCTGGAGAAAGCTGCTGTGTATCTGGATTTTTGCCACAACTTGCTCGCGGCTGCGGTGCCCGCTGAGGGGCTTAGAGGTCGCTTGGGGGTGGGAGGTGCGGCTCCATAGCGGAGCACCTGCCTAGCATGAGCCAGGCCTCTGATTCCACTCCCGGCACAAGTGAAAGCAGAAACCTGGCTTTTGCTGTCCCAACCTTACCGCCTCTTTGCTCAGCCCATCTGCACGTCCTCCGCGAGTGCAGTGCCTGTCTCCCCACCCACCCGGCCATCCGCTTCCACGCGCCCTACTTCCGGGTCTTGGAGGGGTCAGAGTTCCTCTTCTAAAATGCCAGCTGCACCCAAGCTCCCCTTTGTACCGCTGTCCAGCAGAGAGCTTCCATCCCAGCCTGGGCCTCGCCCACCTGTGCTTGTGTCCCCAGCACCACCGTCCCCCTGGCCCTCACGTCACAGCCTTCCCTGGGGACCTGCCACCTCCCCCGAGCTCCTGGCACTTTTCCTTCAGGTTTAGTCTCGTCTCACCCAGCCTCGGAGAGCAAGGCCCCCGACCCGTGCCGCCCTCCAGCCCTTCCCCGTCTTCCACCCGGATCCCTTTGGTCACCAGACCCTCTGCATCCTGAGTTCTGCCAAGCAGACTTGGAGCCTTTGACTCCTCCTTGCCCAAGTCCCTGGGTTTCCCACAAATGAGCACGGGACCCCCTGGGGCTCCTCAGCAAGCCGAGCCCAGACTCCCGGCCCCTCCCTCCTGCCGCCCGTCATCCTCCCAGCTGGCCACTCTTCAGGCAGGGTGCTCCCGCGGACTTGCGTTGGACGGAGCGGCCTTTGGTGCTGTCCCACCGAGGTGCGCGTTCCTTGTGCCCTGTGCAGGCACCGGGGCTTGTGGGCTTTTGTTCCCGCAGGGAGTGGCCCAGCCCTGTTCCAGAGGCAGGGTGGCCTGTGGGATCAGACATCTGGGGGTAGTCCCAGCCAGTGTTCCAAGGTCAGAGCTTCTGGGCCAGGATGCCCCTTCTGGGTCTCTGTAGCTGTCCGTGGTTCTGAGCACCAGCCTGAGCACCCTGCTGCTGAGGAAGTGGCCGTTTCCTGTGGGGCTTGGAGAGGCTGGGAAAGTGCTCCAGCTAGCCATCCTCCTGCCTCAGCCTCCCAGGGTGCTGGGATTCCAGGTGTACACCACCAAATCCAGCTTACCAGTAGAATCCTATTACAGTAACTACAACAACTAAGATGAGCCCACAGAAAAGGCCCTTTCCTGTTCATGCTGGGCACGGCAGGGCACACTTGTAGTCCTAGCACCCTGGAGGCTGAGGCAGAAGGATCCAGAGTTCAAGGACAGCTGCGCTACCTAACCAGAAACTATCTCAAAAACCCAAATATTTGGGGCCCCCATGCTGGCCACTTCTTTGCTACCCAGCAAATGCTGTTTCCACTTTTTTTTTTTTTTTTTTTTTTGGTTTTTCTCCGGTACCGGGAACCGAACTCACGACCTTGCGCTTGCCAGGCAGGCGCTTTTGCCGCTGAGCTAAATCCCCAGCCCCTCAAACGCTGTTTCCAGATGACTAGTGCACCTTCGTTACAGAGCCCTGGGCTTCCCTTTCTAGGCAGTGGGTAGAGATCTCTCTCCCCACCGCAGTGCCAGGGATCACACAGCTGCGCTCCCAGCCCGAGGACTCTGACCTCTCTGGGGAAGGGCAGGAACCTACCCTAGCTGCACTGTGAATCACCGTCGGCCTGGCAGCCAAGGTGCTCTGCTTCCCGACCGGTGTGGAGCTGGAGCAGAGCGGACCAGACCCTTCAGGCCACTGCACACACAGGGATGTGGTCCGCAGGGAGGGCGCCTGGTAGGAAGACAAGCCCTGCTGGAGGAGCAGCTCTGTTTGAGGACCCGTCTTCTGTCTCCAGCACCAGCAACAAAGACCAAACCTCAGGTGCAGGCAGCCCCTTCCTGAGGACTGCAGTGCTGCTGAGGCCCGTGACAGCCACTCTGGGACATGAGGAGAAGGCTAAGAGAGGTTCTCGGCCAGGTTCTGTGGGGTATGGGTTCACTGTTGCCCGTGGGCTCGCTGTGTGAGCAGTGTCCTGGGCGATGGCACCTCCAGGGAGCTAGCTGTAGCTGGCCCACTGGGACAGGCATCAGGACGTAAGTAGTTCCCTTGGGAGTGGGGGACAAAGGTGAGCAGTTTCCCTTCTAGAGTCCAACGTGTTTGGGGAATTTTATGGTCTGCTCATGTGGAATCCATGGGTTATTTTATGTTTTGATGCAGAGTCTTACCATGTACGCCAGGCTGGCCTTGAACTCACTATGTAACCCAGGCTGGCCTTGATTTATGGCAATCCCCCTGCTTCAGCCTCCCGAGTACAAGGATTACAGGGATTCGGCACCATACCTGGTATCCATGGAGTATTTTAAAACTATAGATTTTATAGATGTTTTTATTAACATGAAAAAGTGTGATAAGCCTGGGTGTGGTGGCTCACACTTGTAATCCCAGCACTTAGGAGGCTGAGGCAGGAGGATTGCTTTGAGTTTGAAGCCAGCCTGGGCTACAAAGTAAGTTCAAGGCCAGCCTGAACTGCATAGTAAAACTGTGTCTCAAAAAGACCAAAAAAAAGAAAGTGTGATAAAGTAAGCAAAAATGTAGAGCACTTGTACATATGGTATAATAATCTCAGCTTTAAAAAAAAAAAAGTATAGGGAAAAATAAGTAAATATGACCAAAAAACAATTTGCTTTTGGCTTTCTTTTTCGTTTTTTGAGACAAGGTCTTGCATTGTAGTTCAGGTTGGCCCTGCAGTATGTAATTTAGGCTTGCCTTGCACTCATGATGATCCTCCTGCCTCAGCCTCTCACGTGCTAGGATTACAGACAGGCGTGCACCACCAAGCCTGGCCACAATTTGCTTTTGGAAACTAGGATTTGGAGCAAGTGCTTTTGTTTTCTGGGGTGGTTTTACTTTATATTTGTGTAAAGTAATCACATATACATGTAAATTTTTTTACTTCGGTCAAATACATGTAATGACATTTGCCATTAAGTCACTTTTACGTGTTCAGGGGCGTTTAGTATTTTATCCCGCTGTCCATCTCCAGGACTTTTTCCTTGCAAAACTGCCCTCCTAAACCTGTTAAAGGATAACGCGCCTTCTTGCCTTGCTGCTGCAGCCCCTGACAACACCCTTCCACTTCGTGTTGCGGATTTCGTGGCTGGCTTATTTCACACCACACAACGTTCCCCGGCTTTGCCCGCTGGCGCGGGCGTTGGGGTTCCCTCCGCAGGGCTGGCGGTGCGCACCTGCAGTGCACTCCTTCTTTCACCCTCAAAGGGAGGCCAGGCTGCTCCCATGCATCAGCTGTGGAGCAGGGGGTGCTCTGATGGGGCGGTGTACAGCAGGCGGGGTTTACAGGGAGAAAAGACAAAAAAGGGACCCTCTGGAGGCAGGACGGCCTGCTTTGAACTGGTGAGGATTTTGTCACCTTGCTCACTTTGCAGCTGGGCCCCTTCACTCCCACGACCAGGCAGGACCCCCGCTGGAGGCCGGCGTCACAGTGACGCGGGGGTACGCAGGAGTCCCCAGCACTGAAGTGGCCCCCACTTCACACTTGGGGAGTCCCATGCCGGCCCTGTCGCAGTCCCCGGTCTGCCCGGAGGGGCTGGGTCCCTGAGCCAGCTCTGCCCCGTGGTCCTCCACTCCAGAGCCGCCCAGCACCCCCGCCTGCCCCCCACCAGGCCAGAGCCCACCCAACCGGCCTCTGCCTGGAGGGCCCCGCCGCAAGGGCCTAGAGCTGGGCCTGATGCCACCGCCTCACCTGCCCCCCCCCTGCCGGAGCCGCCCTGACCCCTCGTGGCGCTGATGTCCCCCCAGCAGCAGGCTCCAGGATGCGTGCGTGCGTGTGCTAAGAAGAGGGGACTCGAGGGTAAAGGAGGGACGGTGAACCCTGACTTGAGCGCGAAGCCAGGACCGCCACGTCCGCTCACTGGGACGGAGGCCTGGGCCCTCCCCGGGAGCCTTACCACGGAGCCGCGCCCCAGCCCTTGATTTCTCTGAGGCAGGATCTCCATCACTTGCCCAGCTGGGCTTGAATTTGCAGTCCTCCTTCCTCAGCCTCCCAGGGTGCTGGGCTTACGGAGCTCTTAGAGGAGAAGGAACAACTTGCCGCTGTCCCGTGTCCCCGCCGTGCTGTTCTGAGCCGGCGGCCCTGTCTCCTCTGAGATCTCCCCTCCCCTCTGCATCCCACCCTAGCTCTTCTGTCTTCCGCAGCTCGCGCCCTCCTGCACCCCGCTGCCTCGCTCTCCCTCTGCCCTGCCCGAGGCCCGCTCCTGGCTAGCTCGGAGTGGACCTATAGATCTCACGCTTGCTGTGTGTACTGAACATGGCTTTGCGCGTTATTAGTAGAGCCAGGCGGTGAGATGTGCTTTCAAGCTTGCCCCTGCAGAAAAGTCCCCCCGCAGAATTCCCACTCAAGTGGATTCTCGGCTGTGGGCCCTGCCTGCTTGCCTTCCCGCGGACGCAGTCTGAGGAAGCTCCCTCCTGCGCCCCGGGGCCGGGCGCAGTCAGCACGGGGGAGCCTGAGTGCGGCCACCGCGGCCCGGCCGGCCCCTCCCCTGCCCCAGCGCTTCCTCCCTCCCTCCCTTCCCTCACCCACTGCACAACCGCGGCAGTGACCAGCGACGCGGCTGTCAGGCCCCTCTGGCCCTGGCCCTGGGGCTGGGCCGCGGGTCCGCTTCTGTCCTGAGACTGCAGAAACTGGAAGAGCAAGACCTGCCCCGCAAAACCGAGTGTGGTGTGTGCGCCTGTCATCCCAGCACTCTGGAGGCTGAGGCAGGCCACTGCTGCGAGTTCGAGGCCAGCCTGGGCTACACTGGACTATACAGCGAGACGATGTCTCTCACCCTGCCGCTATCCCTCTCCCTCAGCCCCATCTGCGCCGGACCATCACCGCGCGTGACGCGGTTTGTGGGGGTCGTGATGCAGGATGTGGGGTCTCCACTTGGCCCCGCCCTGGCACACCCACCTGCAGGCCCCGCCCCGCCCACTCCGGCTGCGCTGCGGGCTTGCTCCCGAGGGCTCGCAGTCTGACTCCGGCAGCCTCTGTCTTTCCCACTGCGGGCCCTGCCTTTCAGGGGCGGGGCCCGGCCGCACCCCACTTCCCGCTTTGCACGCAGATGGGCTGGGCTAGCCCCGGAACTGCGGCCCTGCGGGGCCTGGCTCCTTAATGAGCGGGCGGGCCGGTCTTGCAAGATAAGGCCAGGCGCGGACCAGCTTGCTGGGTCCTCCTGGAGGCAGAGCCGCAGGTCTCCTGCAGGAGGCTGGAGCGTGAGCCGGCTGCGGAGGCGCCCGCGGTCCTCTGTGAGCGGTGGCGCTGGCTGGCGGGAAGCAGTGGCCGGATAGCGGCCGGACGTGCCCTCCTGGCGAGCAGTAGGCCGAGGGGACCCTGCTTCCGGGGCGCCGCCGCGGGCAGCTGTTCCCACGTCTGCGTTTAACGGGACCTCGTGTCTGCGGTGAGGACTCGGAAGTTCACTGGCTCGGAGCCCAAGGGGAGACAAGGAAATGGCCAGGCCTGGTGGCGCGGGCCTGTGATCCCAGCCACAGGAGAGGCTGAGGCAGGCGGGTCACGAGTTGGAGGCCAGGCGGGGTCATTAGGAAGATGTCTCAAGATCAAAATTTAAAAAGCCCGGCTGAGCAGGAGAATGCCAGGTTTGAGCCCAACTTGGCCAACTTAGCAAGACCCCGTCTCAAAATTAAAAATTAAAAAAGGGCTAGGGTGCATCCCCGGCCCAGCATGTTTGAGGGCTAGAGTCAGGCCTTTGCTCACAGCTTCATGGCTTCCTGGCCACAGGCAGTAGGAGAGGTCACCAGGCTGGGGTCCCTGAGAGAGTGTGGGGATGCGGCTAGATGCAGTGTGGGAAGGCCCCGCGCTCGGCACCTTGCTCCCTGTGCATCCCAGGTGTTTGGGGGAAGAGCTCTGGAATTTCTGGGAAGCGCAGAGTGAGGGAAGGGCCAGGCACAGACCGCATCCTGCTGACCTCTGCGGCTAACTCCGCTGACCTCCGGGAAGTCCTCCTGGGTGGGAAGAGATTTATCTCCTGCTGCCTGTGGGAACGGGCCCAGAAAACTAGCTGGGCGCATTCCTGTTATCTCCCACAGGGCTTTGTGTTTAGAGACAGGGTTTTGCGACATAGTCGGCCTTGAACTCACCATAAAGCTTAGGCTGCCCTCCAGCTTCTGTTGACCCTCCTGCCTCAGCCTTCCAAGTGTTGGGATTACAGGCATGCACCACCATGCCTGGCCCCATTTCCTATTATCATCCATTTAAAAACCTGCTCGATGATCAGATTTCAGTTGGAATGACAGGAAATTCCACATTCTACATTATGTGTTTCTGAACAGTTGCATTTTTATGCTTTTGCTGCTGGGATGGAACCCGTAGTCCCAGGAGCAAGGCAAGGCTCTACCGGGTGAACTGCAGCCTAGCCCAGAATGTTTGTGTTCTTAAAAGTAATGAGCATGTATACCTCTGTGATCAGAAAAGACAAAAGGTTTTTCTGCTGTTTTTTGCAGCGTGGGGATGTGGCACTCGCCTGGCATACTGGAGGCCTCTGGTTCCATTTCTCAGCATCACCAAAAATAACACAAAGTCACAGTTCCGGAATGGAACAGAAGAGCTCCCGGAGGGAAGGCACGGCTCTTCGGGCAACGTCCTCAGTCCCAAACATCCCTCGCACACCCCGCACTCACATGGGCCGGTTTATGGGGACCCGCAGCCAGAGTCTCCCCAAGGCCTCACAATCCAGGAGCTTCTTAACCTTTAGAGCTCGATCTTCCGCCTCTGTCCTGTTTCTCTTTCTGCACCGCCACTGGGGAGCTCCATGTCAGATGTCAAATTCCTTTCCTTCCCGCCTTGTCTTTAGCATTTATGCAAGACAGACGTTCTGCCCTGCATTTTGGATACTACTTCACTCTTGATTTTATTCCATTCCATCTTTTCTTTTCCCCTTTTTTATTTTTTGCAGTGTTGGGGTTGAAACCCAGGGCCTCACCCATACTAGGGAAGTACTCTACCACTGAGCTATACCCCCAGCCCAGCTTTTTCATTTTTATTTTAAGTTGCCTTGATTATTTTTTTCTTTTTTTTTT